AGAATTAGCATGCTTGTAGAGGCTACAGTGTGCCAGGCGCCATGCCAGACTCTATACATATGCCATCTCACTGGACCCTCACTGTGGCTCTACAAGATGACTTACATTGTCTGCCTTTCCCAGTGAGGAGACAGACATTTGTGTCGATTGTCTTGGCCAAGGTCATCTCTGTAGCAAGGCAACAGCAAAGCCGAGGGTTGGTGATGTTATCCCAAGTATATTTTCTCCCTTGAATCGTTTCTCTACTTACGTTACTAAAAATCAGAAACAAAAACAAAACAAAAAAAAAAAAACGGACACACTGCTTAAGTATTTACCTGTTGGTTCATGGAACTCTTACCCTATCAATTCTAAAATCTCATAGTAAAATAAATGATATCTCATTTACACAGGACTTTGGTGTTTACAAAGTGTGTTCACATATTTTATTTCTTGATCTTTAACAGTACTATCAGGAGGGCATGTGTGAGAGCCAGCATCATACAGGTGTTCAGCAAGGGAAGGGTCTGTGCTTCATTCGCTGTCCCATAAAGGCTTTCCCTCATGCTCAGGATGTCTACAGAATGGCCTCTTCACATCCTTGACTATATCAGAACAAAACACATGCTTTTGTGGGAAAGAGTGTGACTATTAATCTATTTTCAGAATCACTCCTGGATGCCTGCAGTTGCTCTGTGGTTGATTTCCTCTTGCCGCATGTTGGATAGTGACTTCATTTTCACCTGTAATATGTCTGGTAGAAAGAAGTTTTTTCACTCACTATCTGACCACAGATGGCTTTGAGCATCTGATCCTCCTGCCCTTACCTCCAGATTCTGGGAGGACAGGTGTAAGGCACCACACCTGGCTTCCGTGGTACTGGAGACTGCAGCCAGGGCTAGACAAACACTCTAGCAACTGAGTTACCTCCTCAGCCAGGGAAAGTTCTAGAAGATACAGAACAGGCAACTCTGTTCTCTCCTTGTTGTCTGATTCTCCTTGTGCATAGATATTATCGTCAATCTGCTAGTTGTCCAAATTCTTTAAGAAAGAAATAATTTTACCACATTGAAGTCCATTTTGAAAAGGTAATACAGGATAATACAAACTGCATAGCCACTTGATTGGGTGTCATTAACTAGTGGATGTCACTGTACTGGATGGCTCTGTGTCCCTTGACATATGCTAGAGTCATTAGAGAAGGAGCCTCAGTTAAGGAAATGTCTCCATGGGATCCAGCTCTAAGGCATTTTTTCAATTAGTGATCACTGGGGGCGGGCCCAGCCCATTGTGGGTGGTGCCATTCCTGGGCTGGTGGTCTTGGGTTCTATAAAAAAGCAGGTTGAACAAGCCAAGGGAAGTGAGCCAGTAAGCAGTACCCGTTCTTGGCCTGTGCATCAGCTCCTGCCTCTAGGATTCTGCCTTGTTTGAGTTCCTGTCCTAACTTCCTTCCATGATGAACAGTGCTGTGGAAATGTAAGCCAAATAAATCCTTTCCAATCCACCATCCTTTTGAGCTTGATATTTCATGGTAGCAACCAAAATTAAAGTCAAAATCCTAAGACAGTCACAACACACTGAGAGTCAACAGATTAACAAATTGATGTGGGGAAGCAAGGCATGTCTTCTTACACAAGTATCATCTTCATACTCAGGAGATGGAGCTAGGATAGTTGTCCCAAGCTCAAGGCCAACTTGGTCCACGCGTAAGCTCCAGGCCTGCTAGGCAACACTGTGAGACCATGCCTCAAACAAATAATCCAAAACAACAACAAAAGAACTAATGTGGATTGGGACAACCTTCAATTCCCATTCTCCCAGTTAGCTCCAGTGTTACAAAGTATGCAAACATATAAGCTGGCAAAGTTTTCTTTATTTTTAAGATTTAAAACATAAATAGAACTTCTTGGTGAACATGAATCTATATCTGGGGGGGATCAAGAACACACGCATAGGGAGAACATGCAATTATGTGTGATCTCAACACAAGGCCTGCGGCTTGCAAAAGTGCTGATTTCCCTGGTTTGATTTTGGACGGCAGTTGGAGAAAACCAGGTGAAGGGTGCAGCAAGCCACCGTTGATTTGGCCTTGCAACTTCCCGCGTGTCTACAATTATTTCAAAATATCCCATAACCAGGAAAGTTAGCACTTTGGTTCTCCACAGTCACTTGGTGGCCCATTAAGGGACAACAGCCACAGCCACTCTGAGACCTGGAAGAGGTGGTCTCCTCTCTCAGGCTCAGTCCCTTCTTCTGGAAAATGGGAAGTTATTCAATCAGTTCTAAAATTCTGAGACTGCATGTGCAGGCTGTTGAGTAGGAAGGTATAACTGTTCCTTGGTCTGGGGTTGGCTATGTTCATCTCTTCTGTATATAGTGCTCTTTCCTGGAGTGTGGAATCCTTCACCTTTCCCCACAGGATCCTTCCAAAGCGTTTGTACTAAGAAAAAACATTTTAAGATTCATTTTATTTCTTTCTGTGTGTTTATGTGCATGTGTGTGTGTAGGTGCCCCCAGGGATAAGAAGAGGGGTGTCAGATCCCTTGGAGCTGGGCTTACAGCATTTGTGAGCCACCTTTGTGAGTGTTGAGATCCAAACACCAGTCCTCGGATAAGGTAGCGAGTGCTCATAACTACTGAGTCATCTCCCGCCCTGAAAATGTTTCTATCAAGCAATCTGTACCCAGTGTCCCATGTCACCTCTTCTGGGCCATGCATGTGCTAACTATTCTTTGCTTCTGTGACCTCTCCCTGCTGTCCAGACTGCTAGCTGCACAGGTAATGGCCCTTCAGCTCCCAAATGATAAGAGATTGTAAGGGGATTTGTGTAAGGCTCAGAGTGTGTTCAAAATTGTAATGTCTCCCTGACGTGGAAGAGGGAAGTTGTCCTTAGATGCATAGCAATTAAAAGCACAGAAAGCTGGGGGGAGGGGAGGGCTGTGTTTTTCCAGATTTGTGTACATCTCCTGAACCTTGGAAACTGCTCAGCTGGGAATAAATATTTATCTAGGATACAAGAACCAGAATGATCCTTACTATGTCTATGGGGGTAGCTGGGGCAGTGCGGTATTCAGCTACATATCTTCCTATGATCTTGTCTGTTTATCTGCATTTATCCACATAAATAGCCACATGTTGATAAAGAGATGGATATAGACATTTCCTTACGGCAGCAGGCTTGAATGTAAGACTCTGAAAACAGTTGAAACGTCCATCAATAGGGGAGTAGTTAGAGCAGTGGTTTTCAATTTTAGCAGAAATGATATAAAGATGACATCTCTTCTTTTATGCAATGAATATTACAAAATGGCATTAATCAACAGTACTACAGCCCCATGCAAAAGAAAAGGAATAATGTCAGGCAGATGTTCTACACAAGAACCTCTGGAGACTACTGTCAGCATGCTGGCAGGGAAAAGGTTCTTCAGTGGGTCAAATGTTGATATCTGTAGAAAGCTTGTAGATGAACATTAATATTTTATCAACCTTAATTTCCCAGCTCCTGGTTTTACTAAATGCTGAGAGGGCACTCACAAGTAATCCATATTTACAACTCTTTTATAAGCCTGAAATCATTTTATAATACAGAGTTTAAATTTTATCTGTCCCTTGCTCAAAAAGAGGAAAATCACGCCTGGTACTAGAAACTTAGCCACCTATTCATAGCTATTGGGAAGCTGTGGATCTTGGAAGAGAATGTGTAATCACCACTTTACTACACCAGCATAATCTGATGTAGGATGTTTTGCTTTTATTGGTTAATGAATAAACCTGTTTTGGACTATAGCAGGACAGAATATAGTCAGGCAATAGAGAGAGAATAGGCAGAGTCAAAGAGACGCCATGTAGCTGCCAAAGGAGACGGATGCCAGACCTTTACCAGTAAGATATAGCCTCATGTTAATACACAGATTAATAGAAATGGGTTAATTTAAGATGTAAGAGTTAGTTAATAAGAAGCTAGAGCTAATGGGTCAATTAATGCAGTTTCTGTGTGGTTATTTCGGGGCTGAACAGCTAAGGAGCCAACAAGCGACCTCCCTCCAACACATACACGTGAAATAAAAATAAGTAACTCTTAAAAAAAAAAAAGGAAAAATGAAACTTGTTAAATTTGCAGGCAGATGACAGGCACTTAGAAAGTATTGAATAGGCTAACCCAGGCTCAGGCAGCTAACACTGTAGCCCTGTCTCCTGTGTGTAGCCTAGCTTCTGAGTTTATAAAGGGACACATGAGGCGGGCGTGGAGGGGGAGAGGCCTTAAGGGAAAAGGATGGGGAGTATACACGTTACATGAAAATAGAAGGCGGTAAGAATACAGAACAAATGGTGGAATTGGGGGGTGATCTTATTGGAATCTACATATATTAATAACTGGGGGCAGAAACAGCCATTTGACAACATGGTAGTACGTCTTGCCTGGGAATTTCAGTAACAACAACATACCCCACCCACCTTAATCTTACTTGTCAACAGGTCATTGGAAGGGGAGGAAAGCTCAGTTCTCCCTGTGGGTCAGGGCTGCTTGCCCAAGCCAGGATTTTGAGACAGGTGGATCAGTCCATGTTTCCCTCTTTCTTTCTTTCTTTCTTTCTTTCTTTCTTTCTTTCTTTCTTTCTTTCTTTCTTCCTTCCTTCCTTCCTTCCTTCCTTCCTTTCTTTCTTTTTCTCTCTCTCTCTCTCTCTCTCTCTCTCTCTCTCTCTCTCTCTCTCTCTGGTTTGGTTCATCTGCTGAGGGAGAAGGTGGTAAGAGAAGAGACCTACTTTCTGAACTAGTGAAAGTAAAGCCAACCCTTTGCTCATAGTGAAACATCCCCTGGAAAAGAGAAGTGACTGCGCAGCCCCTGGTGACAGTGTTCGGTCTGTGAGCACTGAGGGATTGTGTTTGCCATGCTCAGTAAATATTGGATAAGTAAACAGAGCCAGAGCTGGCCCTAGACTAAGATTTTCTTGTCACTCTGGAGCCTGTGCCCTTTTCAAGCGACCTGCATCTTCCGCTTCCTTAAGTGTGTATGAGCCGCAAACCCCGTGTCTCTTTATTCATGTTTGTTTCTGTCCCAGTACTTGGTGGATAGAGGGACTTCATGAGATTCATAGTAAGAGTTGAGTCAAATAACAAAAACAAATGCCTGTAATAATATTTAAAGGGATCTCTCTGCTTATTTGTTGGTGACTTTTTTCATTACAAAAACTACCCTGGTTGCTCATCTTTATGGGTGTTGTGTCTGCGCAATACTATAAGGTAGGTTCCAGTGTTTTGTCCCATACCATCCTTCATTGCTGTCTCAGACCGAGTGACTAGTGTCTCCAATGTGTCCTGGAATCTTGTCCTCTTGTTTATTTCTCTGTTACACCGTGTGAATAATCAAATGTTCAGATAAACAGTCTGGCCTGTGGAGGGAATATCAGTTTTCAGAGCAAACTCTACACCCTCAGCTTTTTTGCTGAAGAACTAAACGTGGGGTGACTATACCAGAGTTTTTTTTGGGTAAATGATGGAACAGTTTTGAGGTTGAATAACCTTAGTTTGGGACTATCTTGAAATGTGCACCTGGATTGTTGTCGATGGTGCTGCTTTGGCCTGGGAAACCCGATGTGCGAAGCGGAGTAAGCTTGGGTTGTTTGTTGTAGTTCCTGGCTGTTGGCTGAGCCATTTACGTTGCTTGGTGCATTGCCGGTATGAAAGTATGAAGCCGGAGTTGAGAGCGTCTCTCCTGTGCCTCACACGTCTTTTTCATTAGGCCATTGTTGAGCCAGCAAGAAGTCCCAGCTTCGAAAGATACTCATTTGTGATCCCTGTGAGAGGAATCGTGCAACTAAAAATCTCGCCCATCACTTGCCTCGGAATCACAGGTGTACTCAGCGCTTAGATAAAGAAGAGTTAAGAAATCATCAATAGCGAGTCCAGTTTTGTCCCAGGCTTTTTCAGATCCAGGCCAGCTGGCCTTGGTGAGTTCCCGATAGGACATCCCCATTGTCTCAGTGTGTGGGTGCACCTCTCGCGGTCCTAAGTTCCTTGCTTGTGCTCTCTCTCCTTCTGCTCCTGATTTGGACCTTGAGATTTCTGTCCGGTGCTCCAATGTGGGTCTCTGTCTCTGTCTCCTTTCATCGCCTGAACATAGCGGACAATGAGAATTACTGAGAACTCAAGAACAATGGCAATGGGTTTCTGTTCCTACTGCACAAACTGGCTTTGTGGGAGCCTAGGCAGTTTGGATGCTCACCTTACTAGGCCTGGATGGAGGTGGGTGGTCCTTGGACTTCCCACAGGCAGGGAAACTTGATTGCTCTTTGGGCTAACGAGGGAGGGGGACTTGATTGGGGGAGGGGGAGGGAAATGGGAGGCAGTGGAGGGGAAGAATCAAAAATCTTTAATAAATAAATAAAAATTAAAAAAAGAAATCATCAATAGGAATCATTTAAAGACGTCACCGTGGATGATTTGTGATAGGTCTCCCAATTCCAGCTCATTGTGCCAATTACCATATTCCTGGTGGCATTTGTAATGTGGTTTCTCTTGTCTTAATTACATAGATAAAATAAACATTAATTCAGACAAAGTAAAGACACAGGCAGAATTTCACTGGAAAAATAGAAGATTCAAATATGACCATGACAGCTTTTTTCAATCATGCAGGTGGAATATGGGTGTGGGACCTGCAAAGGCCTCAGTTACTACCACCAAGAGGCTGGTGAAGCATCGTCTGGACCTGGTCTGGTTTACTGCAGAGAAGACTTTTCAACTCCAGGTGGTGGAACACACAGACATCCCAGCACTTAAGATACGGTCCCTGCAGGTTCAGGAGTTTATTTTAACTGTCATTAAAAAAAAAAAAAAAGCAAAAAAAAAAAAAAGAAGGGAGGAGGAAGAAGTGGAAGAAGGGGAGAATGAGAAAATGAGAAGGAGGAGGAAGACGAAGATGGCTCTGTTAAAACCGTTTACAAATGACAAATGGAACAGGCTGCTTGGGAAGCGAGTGAGTCACTGTCTGCTAAACACTGTTTATTGGTACTGGGTACAAACTGGGTACTGTTTAAAGAAATGAAGTTGCGGGGAATGAGGACAGCCAAATTATTGATCTAAAGCAAACACAAGTCAAGGAAGCAACAAGAGTAAGTGAGAGTGTTTTGGCAAGTGGTTCCAGCAGAGGTGGAGGGAACCTACAAGGCCACAGGAAGAACTTTTTAAAAGTCTCTGACCAAGAAGGGCTCCAGAGACAAGATGAGGTTTGAATGGAAGCTAAGAAAGTAATTCAGCCATTATAGAATACAAAAAATACTTAGGTTTTGAGGGGGTGGGGAAACAGTTATCTTGGGAGGGACTGTGTCGGATAACTGGATGAACTTTTTTTTTATCCCAAAGAGTCTATCGCTGTCTTGGTTTGAACAAACCTCAAAAACTTCAGCTTTGAGGGTGGAAGCAGCGAGGATGATGTAATTACATTTTGATTTAAAATAATAAATTTAAAATTTTCAGTTTCTCTCCCACCCCAGGAATACAAAAAGTTAGAAAGTGAGTATCTGTAAGGCTCGGCCCATAGAGTAACCACTCAGGACAGGACCCTGGCATTTGCACTTAGTAGGATGGCGGGATGTTCAGCTGCTTTGAGTACAGCGGGTCCTCAGAACATGCTCTGTGAAGAACAGGTTTCTATATGCATGTAATTCTAGACATTTCCCACGTTCCCAGAAAACCCATTCACGACGGATGGCATCAGGGCAAATTATAGTCTGTTTGGATGATTCGTGCAGTGCCACGTGGGATTCAACTCTCAGAGGCTTCCGACAGAATCTCTGTTCTGCAACTTATAGACAGAGCCTAGGCCAGTAAAAGATGTTTCCTTTCTCTGATGAACTGCTACCCGGATGACAATGCATCTACGATGCGATCCACAGATTCTAGAGAACGGTTAACACGTGAGATCTTTGGTGACCCGGAAGGTTGTCGTCAGGCCTTGGTGGTCACTTTTTGGGTCCGGATGTTTTGCTGCATCAACTCTCATCTTGACTTACCACCATGACAGGGGTGGAGAGAAAGACCCAGGGTTGCCCTTGAATTTCCCTGGGATCCTGTTTGTCTGTCTAGTTTATCCTGCTGGCTTCCTGCCTCCTGAAGGGAAGCTCTGATGCCTAGACTAATTTGCCTAGGTTGCTAGTTTCATATCCCGTATTAGTCAGATTGACTCTTAAAATAATTGATTTTTAGAAATCCTGCAACACCTGTCATTAAGTCACCTACAATCGGAATATAACAAGGGCAGGCACACTGCTTAAGCTGAGACGATTCAGCTGTCTTCCTGGGCCATTTCTACCACCTTCCCTTCAAGTAAATCTAATTCCCCAACCCATGTTCACCAAAATTTCCAGAAATTAATATGTATAAAATTTTATTCATGATCACCTAACACAGGAAACAACTTACATGCCCATGGATTGGTGGGTGACTAAAGTACTGGAAAATCCACACAATGAACTTATCTTTGGCAAATAAATAAATAAAATCTGTGCACATGAGTTTCCAGTGAATTATAAGTAGAGAAAACAATTCTAAAAAGTGATTCTGCGATTCATTCCACTTAGGCAGTATAGACAGAAGTTTGTGTTCCACCCAGCCCCTTAGCTGTTCAGTACCAAAGAAACACACAGAGGCTTATATTAATTATAAGCTGTTTGACCTATTAGCTCAGGCTTATTATTAACTAGTTCCTACAACTTAAATTAACTCATAATTCTTGTCTATGTTAGCCACATGGCTTGGTACTTTTTGTCAGTGCAGTATTCTCATCTTGTTTCCTCTGCGTTTGGGTGGCTACTGTGTCTGAGCCTTTCCTCTTCCCAAAATTCTCCTAGTCTTGTCGCTCTACCTGTGCTTTCTGCCTGGCTACTGGAAGATCTGCATTTTATTAAACTAATACAAGTGCCAAATCTTTACAGGGTACAAGAGCATTATCACACAGCAATGTGGGACCATTAAAAAGAAAAAATTACAGCACTGGCTGCCAGGCTTTTGGGATAGGAGTGGCATTGATGAAAAATGATAAAAATTAATTTTTCTTTTCATCAAACTGTTCTCTGCTTTGATTGTGATTGTCTAGACATCTATATTCATAGATGTCAAAACTCATAGAATTAGATGATAAAGATGGGAGGCAATTATTGTAGATAATTGATAACTACATAAACCTGATTTGGAACATCAATGCAGCAACAGAAAAATCTTTTATTGAGCTGGACTTGGGCCTTTCAGTCCCATTCCCACCCTACACACACACACACACACACACACACACACACTTTTGACCCATCCTATTTGCCAGCTTAAGCTTCCATTTTCTGTGCTTTGGGCTTTGGTTTACAGCTGACAAGACTTGTATGGTGTCTGCACACTCTGCTCAGCGTTTTCTTGATCCTTAGCAAACTCCACAGGTTTAGACCCTCCATCAGGTGCCCCTCCCCCTAATGAGGAGCCTCTGCTTACTCTTGTGAGGAAGGCCCCTGACTTCTGAACTCCCTCAACACTCACTTATTCAGATGTGATAATCCATACTGGCACCTTTGTAACTCCTGTGTGTTAATCTCTTACACAAAGGAGTAAACCTGCCACATTCCTTTTTTAAAATAAAGAAAATATGATCTCTTATTTAAAATAGTAATAAACTCATGGCAAGTTAAAATGGAATATTAAAAACAAAACAAAACTCCTTTCCTCACCAAAACAGATGCAGTGAGAAAGACAATTACTGTTTTTAACAATTTTTTTTTCCAAAATCTCTCTAGTGTCTTGCCTAACTGGGGACAGCTGAACTGTCCTAGCTGCTGCCACATGCCCTCGGTTGCAACATCACATGTCATGTCGCCTCTGGAAAACTCCATCCACTTTCGTGATTAAGTGAGTGTGAGAGAAACAAGTAGCGTAGTGTACTGGGGTCATTATGAAATCCGTGTTGTGAAATTAGCTCTGCTCTATCTGTCTATTCCAGTTCCAGAGAGCCACGGGGGCTCCAGGACCACACTCTAAGAAGCACTGCTTATAGCGTTCCCTGCTTTTTATGCTACTTATTCATTGTTCATTGTTGTCGTGAACTTTTTTTTTTTACAGCTGTTTTAGGTAAGAACGACATGAATGGGTTTCCATATAGCCTGTTCCTACACATGTACAAACCCCCTACTACTGATGACCTACACCCCAGTGGAACCTTTCCAGGCAGTGGCCCTACAGTGAACGACACAGTATTGTCACTCAAATCTTCCAGTTTGCATTAGTGTTCACTGTAGGAGCTGTATGCTCTCTGGGTTTTGACAAAGAGATGATGCCAGGTATCCACCAGGATTATGTATTATTTTGTCGGTCATGAATGGGTATTAGATTTTCTCAAAGCCTTCCCTGTATTATTAATCTGCTCCTGTATTGTTCATTTTTTAACTCATCACCACATGGTTTCATTAATTGGTTTGAGAGTGTCAACCTACCTTCTCTTTATACACTTAGGAGAAGCTCCACTTGACTGTGGTTCATACTTATTGATTGACTGTGTGTGTGTGTGTGTGTGTGTGTGTGTGTGTGTGTGTCTATGTGCACACTTGTGGGGGCCAGAAGGGGGTGTCAATACCTTCCTCTATCATTTTTCATCTTACCTTCTTGAGTCGGGGTCTTTTACAGAACCCCAATTTCACCTATCCTAGCCAGGCTGACGGGCCTGTGAGCTCCTAGGCTCCTCGTGTCATCACCCCCCAGTGCTAATGACAATGTTAGGTAGCCATGTCTGGTGGGACTCATTTTGGGGTTCTAAGAGGCAGACTTAGGTCCTTATGCTTGCAGAGCAAATGCTCTTACTCACCAAGCCATCTCCCCAGCTCCATGTGTAGAATTCTTTTAAAGCATTGCTTGATTCAACTGTTATTTTGCTCAAGAGTTTTTGTCTCTGTGTTCATTAGCGATGCTGGCCTACAGAATTCATCTTTATTTGTATTGACTGTCTGGTTTTGGTATTATGGCAATAGTGGCCTCAGGGAACACATTGGGCAGTATTTCCTGTTTTATTATCCTTTGAAAAAGAATTGGCATATTTTTTTCTTTAAAAATTCACTAGTGAACCCATCTGATTTCCCCCCTCTTAAAGAAAAATGTATCATGGTGACTGTAGCCTTAATTCAAGTGTAAGTGGAAACAGGGGCAACCTTACCTATCATTGACCTAGTCTCCCCAATGCTAACATCTTGTGGCTGTGTAGTGCTATATCACAACCAAAGTCTTCGTATGTGGTCTAGATTAACATCAGATTCACTGTGTAACCTAAGCTAATCTCAAATTTGCAGCAATCTTCCTGTTTCGGCTTCCTGAGTGATGGAACTACAAGGCATGTCCCACCATGCCTGCATGATAAAATCTATGTTATTTAAATTTCTTCATTTTGCTTGTACTCGCTTGTGCATCTCTCTTTAGGTCTATGAAAATTTAGCATAAGCATTGTTGTGTTAACTGTAAACAGAATCCAGATACAGGAAAACGTCTAGATTCCTTTTTTATCCATACAGTCACAATCTGGACACATCTTTGTTGTGATGGTTGACATTGATTTCAACCTGACAAGATGTGCTATCACCTAGGAGACAAGCCTCCAGCTATGCCTATGAGAAAGTATCTAGATTAAGTTAATTGAACTAGTTACGGGCATTTTAACTGTGGGCAGCATCATTTCATAGTCTGAGATCCTGGTCCGAGCAGTGGCATTCATCTTTCTGCTTCCTGGCGGTGGATGAAATGTGAC